ATAAAAGCACATAAATATCATGTATTTGATGACATTTTTTGTTTTTCTATGCTTTTTATCGTAGCATTTTATTATATACTATACTATATATATACAGTATATATTTTTCCCGTCAAAATCGATACCAAAGTCATAAAAAAGTCCCTAAAAATCCTAAACAATTCATACCACTCGCGAATTATGCGATAATATTCAGCGACAAAATATATTTGCTTATAATTTCACAATTTAATATATAATACATACATAATATTTGTATTGATTTTAAAACACACACTCAAAAAAAGTTTTACATTCCTTAAGCCCTGTAATTAAATTAAGCACAAAATTATTATCGATTACGCGATTCCTATGCCTGTGTCAGCACTACTCGCTATTATAAACTACTATTTATGGCAATGGCTTTAACGCACAGAATATTCTCTACTATACTATACTATATAATGTCATAAAATTTTATTTCATAGGACTTTAATTTGATTTGTTTTTGTATTCATTCGCTTATATTTGGTCTCCTTTTTTGTGCTTATCTACGGAAAAAAAGTTTTTTTATCCACTTTTCTCTATCCACTAATTTGATGTCCAATTGATTTATGTCACCGACAGCTCCTAGACTGCATCCAATTGCCCACAGTATTAGCCCTGTCCTGGCTGTTCATCAAAGTGAGGTTCGGCTTACTCCACATACTGGGCTCCTGTATCGCCCTAATGGGTGTCGGGTGTCTGGTGTGGGCCGACATCGAGGACATTAGCGCCGATATCACACGTAATCACCACTACTTTACTGTCACTCACTATTGACTATCATATATATATGAGTAAAACTAATGCCTAATTAGACACCCGATAAACATTTCCCTTATATATAAATATATGATATTTTTTATACATTTATTTTTTTTGTCGCCAAATAACTAGTGACTAAAAAATTACATTTGAATATAAATTATATTTTTTATGTGATTTCGTAGCGAAAAACCGATTTCTCGGAGATATGCTGTGTTTGTTAGGCGCAGCCCTGTATGCCGTGTCCAACGTGTCGGAGGAGTATGCCGTCAAATGCTATAGTATTGTCGAGTTTCTCGGTATGATTGGCCTCTTTGGCACAATCCTTAATGGCATCCAATTGTGAGTATAGATAATGTGATTATAAAGTGTGTGCCGTTTATGCCTTTCATATCGTGAGAGAGAGAGAGAGAGAGAGAGAGACGACTTAAATATACGGCTAGTCTTTGAAATCGATTTTCAGTCAATTTTTAATATATATTTAGGAATTTATTATATTTTACACACAAAAAAGTGTATAATTTATCATAAAATGATATTATTTTTTGTCTGTGAAATTTACTCGACGATTCATTGTCACCAGTATATAATCATTTATAATATTTTTTGTGGCAAACGTTTAAAAACACAATCGTTTGAATAGTTTGTATACTAAATCACTATTTGTTTGCTTAGACTGGCACTTAAACACTGGTTATTTATAATAATAAGCTAGCATATTTTCAAGTAGTTATTATTTTATTCAATTAGTTTCAATTTTAATTAACTAGTAAGCTTATATACTAGTATATTTTCGCGTAGGTATTACTTACATAAAATAAAGTAAACTTAATCTGCTTATAGGAATTTATTTGTTGCAACAAAAAAATCTATAGTTTATCACAAAATGATATTATTTTTTGTGTCTAAAATCTACTCAACGATTGATTGTGTCACTCGCAAACAAATCATTAATAATATTTATGTCGCAAACATTTAAACACTGTTTTATGTAGCACTGTATAGTACTGTATATAACAAAATGATATGAATTGTTTTTGATAAACAGAATATTCTGTATATATAAAGGCATCTCTCTCTCTCTCTCTCTCTCTCTCACGATATGAAAGGCATAAACGGCACACACTTTATAATCACATTATCTATACTCACAATTGGATGCCATTAAGGATTGTGCCAAAGAGGCCAATAGAAAATCGATTTCAAAGACTAGCCATATATGTAAGTCGTCTCTCTCTCTTTCTCTCTCTCTCTCTCTCTCTCTCTCACGATATGAAAGGCATAAACGGCACACACTTTATAATCACATTATCTATACTCACAATTGGATACCATTAAGGATTGTGCCAAAGAGGCCAATCATACCGAGAAACTCGACAATACTATAGCATTTGACGGCATACTCCTCCGACACGTTGGACACAGCATACAGGGCTGCGCCTAACAAACACAGCATATCTCCGAGAAATCGGTTTTTCGCTACGAAATCACATAAAAATATAATTTATATTCAAATGTGATTTTTTAGTCACTAGTTATTTGGCGACAAAAAAATAAATGCATAAAAAATATAATACATTTATATATAAGGGAAATGTTTATCGGGTGTCTAATTAGACATTAGTTTTACTCAGATATATATATATATATATATGATAGTCAATAGTGAGTGACAGTAATGTAGTGGTGATTACGTGTGATATCGGCGCTAATGTCCTCGATGTCGGCCCACACCAGACACCCGACACCCATTAGGGCGATACAGGAGCCCAGTATGTGGAGTAAGCCGAACCTCACTTTGATGAACAGCCAGGACAGGGCTAATACTGTCGGCAATTGGATGCAGTCTAGGAGCTGTCGGTGACATAAATCAATTGGACATCAAATTAGTGGATAGAGAAAAGTGGATAAAAAAACTTTTTTTTCGTAGATAAGCACAAAAAGGAGACCAAATATAAGCGAATGAATACAAAAACAAATCAAATTAAAGTCCTATGAAATAAAATTTTATGACATTATATAGTATAGTAGAGAATATTCTGTGCGTTCAAAGCCATTGCCATAAATAGTAGTTTATAATAGCGAGTAGTGCTGACACAGGCATAGGAATCGCGTAATCGATAATAATTTTGTGCTTAATTTAATTACAGGGCTTAAGGAATGTAAAACTTTTATTTTGTGTGTGTGTTTTAAAATCAATACAAATATTATGTATATATTATATGTTAAATTGTGAAATTATAAGCAAATATATTTTGTCGCTGAATATTATCGCATAATTCGCGAGTGGTATGAATTGTTTAGGATTTTTAGGGACTTTTTTATGACTTTGGTATCGATTTTGACGGGAAAAATATATACTGTATATATATAGTATAGTATATAATAAAATGCTACGATAAAAAGCATAGAAAAACAAAAAATGTCATCAAATACATGATATTTATGTGCTTTTATTGAATAAAAGATAAGAAAGTATGCTTTTTGTGATTAATTTGATTATATGCTACACACATACTCGCAATAGTGATGTAAGTCATGTATTATGTGTTTTATATATGAAAGGGAAAGGTATTGTATGTCTGGTGAGACTCCCGACTCACTTGAATGCTGGTGAGGGCCGTGTACTGGAAAGCCTTCACCAGTAGATAGTTGGCGGCGACGTCCACACCGGATAATAGCATGTATTTCCATCCCCTGACACGGATTACATGTAACAGGCCTTTGTTGGTAGGCCTGAGCGCCAGCCAAGTGGTGAATATGATGCACAACAAGGAGTAGGTTAAAAAACTTTGAGCTGTAATGGGATCGGGAGGGGAAAGGGAGAGAGAAAAATAAAAGTGAAAGTTAGAGATGAGAATCGAGTCCTCCTTTTACTGTACTCTAAATTAGATGAAAAGGCCGTTAAGTCCATCAAAACTAATGAATTTGAAAGGCTTTTGTAGTGTCGGCAGAGAAATAGCATTTTATTTAAGCATTCAATTCAAGTATTTAAGGAATTGTAAGAAGTTTTTGGAGAAAAATTACTCAAATTAGGGCCAAAAAGACTCTCTCTCTCTCTCTCTCTCTCTCTCTCTCTCTCTTATAGTGTATTAAATTTAAAGCCCAAAAGAAATACATTATAAAAAAGATGAGCAAAATATATATATTGAGGAAACAAATGGAGGGCTGAACATAGCGTTTGGGGAATTAATTGGTAGAAATAGTTTTGGTGTCTCTTTGTATTTATGAATTGTATTAAACATATACAGTATAGCACATACCCTTCCCCTCCCCTATTGTCCCCCTTTCCACTCAATAATTTAAATGCCTGCGCCTCTCATGAGATAACTTTATGTCAATCTGTTGTATAAGTTGTACACAAATGAGCGCTTTCTATGACTTTCCTTCCTATCTATGACTCTCTCTCTCTCTCTCTCTCTCTCTCTCTCTCTCGTGCCCTAAGACTTACGAGTTGTCAGACATTAAATTGAAAATCATTTATAATTGTCGTACAAATCGGGTCTAAACTCCGGGTTTTTATACAAATTAGAAACGAAATTACATGAGAGGACTATTAGTATAGACATTGTGTTACATACAGTTCCCCTCCACACACACACTCATAGAGTAAGTCTATGCTATGAAAACAGACAATCGATTACTGAATTAAACCATCAATTCATACAATTCATCATCAGATCTGAGATGTGTTTTAACGGCTTATGAGATATACACTGAATAGTGAATAGGACTTCCAGTATAGGTTAGGCATAAAAAGGCTGTGTTTTTGATTAAAATAACTTTTTATACGAGACTTCTATAGCGTAATAGTGTATGACTTGTGAAAGTATACGAGTGTATATTTAAATAACAATGAAAGTATGACTTTAAGTTTAATAAATTTTGACATGGTATATCTAAGCTTGTTTAGTATTTTTATATTTTATTTTATAGAAATCTTGGAGTTGCGAAATTAATATTTATGAAAAATTTCTATATACAGTGTAAATGTATAAATAATATTATATTTTAAATTAGATTATATAGTTTAATGGTATAGAAAATTAATACTATGCTATGAGTTAAAATAAAATATTTCCAAACTTATGTACAATATTTCGATATTAAATATTTATAAATTATACCCAAAAAATCTGCACACAAACTTTTGGTTTAATTTAAATATTAAACTATTTTTCAATCATATATTTATAAAGGCGTGCGAAGTTTTTTTTCAGTTAAAGTTTAAAACATTTAAGACTAGTGAAATTAAATATTTATCAAGGTGCCTTACCGCTTGGTATATGGATTTTGTAATAGTTTTGTATGTATTGACTCATTATTCTTGTCGTACAGATTAGTAGTGATAAGAATTGGCTCAAGAATAGGGTTTTCCATATAGTCCTGTAATTTATGTAAAAACAATATTTGTATATTATATTCATATAAGAATTTTAATTAAATGTTAGTAATTAAACAAATATAAGAATTTAATTAAATTTTAGTAATTAAACAATTAGTTGAACACTAATTTATACATTAAATGTCTAGACATGAATGCAATTTAATCTAAAGTATTTAGCATTTTATAGTAATACTCGCAAATAGTATTTAATGTTTAAAATGTAAAAAGTTTAATCATTTATTAAACTGGAAATTAAATCTATATTTTTCACAAATAACTGTTATATAAGACCCGTAAAAATGGACTGAATTTTATTACTATAAGTGTAATAAAATATATACACTACTAGTATTATACAAATTAAAATATTATTTGTAAAAACAAAAAAATCTCAACAAAACTCAATAAAACTCTTCACTCACACACGACATGAGATATCACCGAAAAAAGTCAAAATCTACTAAAACTTATGGCCATATATTGGATGTGTTTTTAAAGTATAAACTTATTATTGATCTCAGAGTCAATCGACAGTCGACTCCTCTGGAAGTCATTCAATCTTTTTTAGTTTTTCTCGACGACTGAATGAAAAGTATCTCAAAAATTGAAACCAGAATTTCGTTGATTCCCTGATTCTTTTGATTCAATTTTGAAAAGTAACAAAAAATATATACTATATTAAAGAGAGTATAAAATAACATATACTTACAGATTGTATCAAATAGGACAGACATACACACACAGTGTGTGTGACATAATGTATGAGTTATGATAATGTATTATATTTTATAAATTCATAAACAATACATAGCTTTCAATGATAACCTCATATAACTGTATACTATATGAATACAATTGAATTGAGAATTCTTAAGAAATTCTTTAATATACTTATTCCGCGAGTGATTTATTGATGCATTTTTTTGCTGACAAAAAGCTTGTATTCAATTAGATTTAAGCTAATGAGAGATAAATGGTTTGATGGATAAAACCTCTCTCTCTCTCTCTCTCTCTCTCTCCCGAAATATACAAAACTAATTCAACAAATGGACAGATCATTGACTTTACGGCTTATTGTCGTGGAGTGTATTCACAACCAATTATCGTGTCTTTTAGCGTAAGTCGAGCGCTCAGTAATCAATGACTTTCCGCACAAATAGTTGACTCAAAAAACAAGTCTTTTGCGATAAAATTAATAAAAAAAATTTTGACAAAAATAAGATTTACTTTTGGAGTCAACACTAATAAGTAGGGGATTTGAGAAAAATGTATACCAGTATATAATACTGTGTATTAATATTAGCATGCAGTGTAACATACAGTACAGTAATATTCATGTATAAGAATTTTTATGATGTAATATAATGTTATGTAATTCTGGTAGCGGTTTAATATACATAATATAAAAACCAATTGCCATAACAAATATTNCGATGACTATCTTCAGCACAATGTTCTTAATGGGACCCTTCCGTCAGCTCAAGAAGATGTTTAACGAGACGCGAGTGTTGGCCACTATCGGGGTCTTTGTGTTCATGATTTTAACCCTTTTATCTGCTCTTTGGTGGAAGAGAGCTCTTTTAGCCGTCATCTTCTGTATCCTTCAGTTTCTGGCATTCATTTGGTTAGTATTCATAGCAAACACTTCTCTCCACTCTTGGAATCAATTGTTTCTCTTGATTTTGATTGCATTGGTTTCATGTGATTGTCTCATATTACAGGTACTCCTTGTCATACATCCCTTACGCCAGAGATATGGTGCGCAAAACCATCACCTCTTGTGTTTGAATATAATTCATATTCAAAGCAATCGTTTATTTGAATACTTTTGTGCCTTAAATATGACACAAAACACTATAATAAACACTATTATAATAAATATAGATTTTCAAATTAAACATATGATTGGATTTCAGTTAATGAAATGTGTTTCATACGGAATCTCACAACAGTTATGATTTATGATTAACTTATTATAATTCAAAATTAGCTTACCGGTATATTTTAACGTTACGTGTTACCGTATTACAATATTTTAATACTTTGCAAAGAATTTACTCAAATTCTGGCTAAATTTTGATAATACTTTTTAATGTATACAACAGTACTTAATGATAACTTTTCTATAAAATTATTTATTCTTGTAATAAAATATATATGTTATTAATTATTATAATAAATATTACAAACAATAAAATTGTGATAAGTAGTGTACAACAACCTTATTATTTAATCACAATATTTAAAATATGTTAAAATAAAAATTCTATAAAAGTTAATTTATCGATAAATTAATTATTTTGCCTTTAGTAAATGAAAATTAAACTAATTTAGTTAAGTGTGCTTTTAATCAATCAATATACATTCCATACCATATGAACTGCTATAGAATAGAGGAATGACCAAGGTGTATTAATTAGAACAAATGCATTCATTATTAGCATTGCATCGCCCATTCATTGCTCCCATTTGTCGACATATCTGCGAACATACCATGAGTTGGAGGACTTCCCGGAGTCCTGCCTTCG